CTTTGACAAAAGAAATAGGATCTCTTATCAATTGAGCCATCCTTCCAGCCCCTGGAAGGGCATTTCTAAAAACATCTGTTGTTTCACAGAAAACTAAAACCTAAAAGGGGGGGGGGCATTTCTTGTCTAAGGCTACCCAATCACATCCTTTGAAGTCCATATAAAGGCAGAAACTTGCTTTGACTTCCTGGTCTCGTAAGTATTCAACATGCCTTCCCTTTCACTTTCGCAGTTACCTTATCCACCGACAAACACATTTTTTTTAATGTCTAGTTCAAACTCACAGACCATTTTCAAACATATCCACTTCTGCTTTTGTGCTCACATGACTTCCACTATTTCACTGTTCTCTCTAATTAAACATTAGTGATTTTATCTCCAGGGTCTATTCTTTCAAGAATATATAGAGCCCTCCCTGCTCAGCCTGCCTCTTGCTTAACCCTCAGTATTGACAGCAATGAGAAAATGTGGGGCTCTCCCTTCTCTTCCTTTCCAACAAGAAATCCTGGCCAAATTACAATCAACTCTGTGCAGAGCCCCCTACCCGTGACAGCTTTAAAACGTCATACTTTATGAACCACCAAAGTTAGAAATGAATTTTTGTCTGACATGCCAGGCTTTTAACTCTTGTACCTGTGCCCAGTCCAGAGATCTTTGAAAACATGCTGAATACTCAGAGTTAACTGACAATGAATGAGGAAGAGAAATATTTATGACCCCACTCTCTCCAAGGCATGTAGAATTCCATATTTCAACATCTTCACATAGGTACTAGAGATAACTACTAAAATATTTAATATTAATAAATATTCTTTTGGAGTAATAAGATAGCCTCCTGCTTTCAAATAGGCTAACGATGCTAGGAAATTAAAGCCACCTATCTTTTCCAGGGAGGAACAGAAATCTTAGCAATGGTAATTATTAATAGTAATGTTTTTTAAAATAGGGCCTCACTAAGTATCCTTGACTGGCATAGAACTCATTGTATAGGGCAAGCTGGCCTCAAACTTACAAATCCACTAGCCTCAGCCTTTTGAGTGCTGTGATAGTAATAATTTTTGTCTTATTTTGTTTAGCCCTAACATACCTTTCTAGTATCTTTCAAAAGACTGAGAATTGAAACCTGGTACCCACATTCTAGAGTAACAAAAAAAGTTGAGAATATTTACTTTCCATAGCTCTGTAAGACATGGGAAGGTGCCATAGACTATTTAACAAAATCTTCAGTCTAGGCATGGGAACCTGCCCTTCAAGTTGTTGGTCAGAAGAGCTGAAAAGATTCTCAAAATAATATAGGTAATTGTCATTGCCATTGGCTCCCTTCCAGAAATTGATGGTAGGTCTCTTTTGCAAAAGACACCATGCACACAGGACACATGACTTGGAAGAACTGAGCTGGCAATGACCTGAAAGCCTCTTCCTTGTGAGGTATCCTTCAGAGTATCCAAAGGAGTTAGCTATGCAATCTGCCAAGGGAGGAAATAAATCAATAGTACTAGACAGCTGTAAGGATTTTGCATGACAACAATGACCAGAACAGAATGATATCCTCAAGGGTGCAATAATTATGTTTATCTTGGGAGAGGGTAATCAATAGCCATCAAAGTGGATTTAAGGTACCCTTAACAGGAGGGCATCTATGCCTGGTACTGCAAACCTGGCTAATTTTCTGTGGATGGTGAGGTTAGGGACCCTAGAGGAGAACCTACTACCTTGATAAACAACTATAATTTTTAGTTGCTTTCTAAATACCTATCTTTTAACCCATTGATTAGTGTAACTCTCACTCTGCATTCAAAAAATAATAAAAAAAAAAAAACCTTTTTTTTTGCAGTAGAGTGAAATCATCACAGAAAGTCACTACTGGTCAAAATGCAAAGATCAACTGATCTGGGCATGCCCAACCCCAACTGACAAATATACAACACAACTTTTGCACCCAAGACTCAGTGAGCACCAAAGAAGAGGAAATAGAAAAATAGCTAAAGCCATATGGGTAGGACATCTTCTGTGAGATAATGTCTTCTGTATTTGACAGGGAAGTTACACTCATGAAATCTCAACAATATGGTTGCTTAATCAAGACCAGTTCAATGGCAACACCAGTTGTCCTATCAGTGTGGACTGAGTAAATCTCACAAGACCTCAACCTCACTAATAAATTAATGGATATGGAGAGAAAAAGATTCATTTTTCTCTGGGACTAGCTTTCTGATAGGTTATCCAATCTCAAGTGGTTAGCTGTAAACACATATAAAAAAGCAATATAATTCAAGAGGAAGAAGTCATGAATTTGAAAGGGAGTAGCAGGAACACAAGAGGAAATGGAGTGGGGAGATAGATTATTCAATCTCAACTGGTCATTTTGGGGGGGGGGGTATTTTTGAGACAGAGCCTCTCTACATAGCTTTCCTGGCTATTCCAGAACTCACTATGTAGATCAGACTGGCTTAAAATAACCCTGCATCTATGTCTGAAGTGTTGGGATTAAATGGATGTGCCATTACACTTTGCAGCCAAAAAGTGGTCATTCTTAAATATATATCCATATGATCAACATATGGCTGGCTGTATTATGACAGTGTGTGGTGTTGTTGGTGTGTGTGTGTGTGTGTGTGTGTATGTGTGTGTGTGTGTGATCATGCTACAGGAATTAAAGAAATCATGAAGTTCAAAGGGACTGGGAGAGGAGAGTGTGAAGGAGTAGGAGAGGGAAGAGCAGGGAGTGGAAATGATATAAATACAGTACTTGTGTGTGGAAATACTCCAAAATAGTAAAATAACTAAAAAATAAAGTAGCCAATTTGCTCCATGCCAGAATTTCTGCATGGAGCACATTCTCCACTCAGTGTTTTCTCATGCATAAACTTGTGCTGTGTAAAAAATGGTCTTTAAGCAGTTGCGCTGCATTTAATTTGTGTTATGGAAAAATGGTGAAATAAATTTGCATGATAATTTGCTAGCAAAATAAAACGATAAAACAAATAGCTGTTTTATTTGGTGATCTTCATTTTCTTAAATAAAATATCACTGAGTTACAGGAATTTGAGCGACTCCACGGTCTAAATCATTTTTAAGACCTTGCTGGATTTCTCTGTTCTGAACATTGAATAATCCCCTCCGGTCCACATTGCTTGTCTTTTCTGCTGTCAAATAGTCTAGAATCCACATGATGGTAGAGATCCTGTCATGCAGTCCTGGCAGCTGCCCTTCTGCTTTCTTTCTTCGTTTAGTTCTAAATTCTCCAGAAAGCTGCTATGCAGGGTAGTATGATATGGCTCAATATTTTTTTCCTTTTACAATATAGATGATCTTTCTGTTTGTTCAAAGCAATCATTTAGTCACCTTGACGTCTAAGACCCAAAGGTGGCACTGATCATGATATAATCTATGTATTGTTTATTTGCTCACTTGAACTCATTTTCCATCTGGTATGGCTCCTACTATAGTGCCCTGGGCCTGCTGCCACAGTAGCTTTAGAATGCTACTCTGCTTCATTCCCTGGTGGGAAACCAGGGTGATCTGTGACAGGGAATTAGAAAGCAGGCGTGATTTACTGGAGAAGCTGGTGTGATCTGAGGTCCTTGGACAATGCATGCCTCCACTTCCTTTTCTAACAGCTGTTCTTGCCTAGGTACTGTTCAGAAAGGGGGTGCTGCTTTGAGGCTCTTTCTAAGTGTCTAGGCTTATGCCCTTGGACCTTGGATCTCATGCCTGGCTATTATTGACAGCAGCAATTCTCCATGTGGGAGTAAAGTTGAAACCTGCAGCCCATTTTCAGTAATCACAAATGCGAGTCACCTCCTCACACTTTTGAGAAATGGAAGAAAAGAAAATGATAGCTTTTTGTTTGGAGTGTATTTCGCCCACCCGCTAAAATGGTGCAACTGAAATCATTAGCATGACTGACTATCAGTGAGGAGAGCAGCCTAAGGGTACTACTTTCTACTTTTCCTCTAGTTGCCAAATATTCACTGCTGCTTCTCTTGTGCTCAGTATATTCCTCAGGAAAGGCTTTTTTTTTTTTTCAGATGGTTCTTTTGCATGAGCCAAGACTCTCTGTTTAGGTTCTGACTTAGAATTAAACTCTTCCAGACCAGGCCGAAGGAAGGAAAAACTCATTGGCAGGAAGCTCCTCCTTTGTGGGAAACCAGGGCAGGGCTTCAAATTGTATTTAAAACTGGGTCTGCTGCCACAGTTAGACCATGTAGGGGCAGCTTCCCAGTGTCTCTTTGAGTGTGGGAATAGAAGCCTTAAGCCCCAGTGATTAAGGAGGTAGGGTCTTGATCGGGAGTTCCTGTTAGGCTATGTAGGCTAGGCACATTTGAAATCTATGCAGATAACAAGTAGGCTTCATCCCACGTAGTCAGTGTCTGCACCTGCTCCCTTTTGCTTGCCACTCTTTGGGGCCTATCTTTGCCATAGCAATTCCAAGGTAGATAAAAACTCAGAGGGAAACAACAGTTTTATTTTCCTCATCAGAGGACTGCCTTCAGGGCGTGACAGTTGGTCCAGAATCCCAAGATAAGTTGCATTTTATATCTGACTACAGTGAACACACTTCCTCTCTGGGGTTAAAGCCATGAAGCTTTAGCTAGGAACAATCTAGCATTCACTACATAGAACAGCCTGCGGACTCAGTTGGGGTTTCTCAACTTGTAACCTCTCTAATAAGGCCATTTCCCCCTCACTTGTTGAAAACAAGCAGGAGGGAAATTTAATTTTTCAAATCATTAATTTTGCTTCCGTTCCTAGGATCCACTGCACACCAAGCACCAGCTCGGACCACCTTCATCGTCGACACTGCTAGTCCAACCAGGGCAGCCAACAGAGCTCAGCAAAGAGAACCATTTGCCTCTTTGCTCTTATAGGTTCTACGACAGGGCTCTTGCTAATAAGTCAGTCCCTGGGATTACCCGAAAACCCTGGAAGGCTGCTGTCCCTCTCTTGGAGGCAGAAGAAGAAGGCAAATATCAGGAATGAGGAAAAGACCTTTTTACCTTCAGCGGCTCTTTTGAAGAAGACCTTGCAGCTGCCACAGGTGAGGGCTCCATAGTGACAGCCAGAAGCTTCATCGCCGCAGATGAGGCAGGTCTTCTGGGGTGGGAAGTAATAGTCGATGGGTAAAACGTGGTCCCTGGCACTGTCCAAACTGAAAAGACACACGCACACACACAAAACAAAGCAGCACATGTCAGTGAATGGCAGAACTCGAGGCAAATTCTCTGGTTTTCGGAGAAGCCGTACATATTTTATGCATCATTCTATGTATCGCCCATGTGAAGCTTAGCTTTTTTTGAGACCTTACCCGAGCACGGGTTTGTAAGGTTTCGCATGGCATTGATAGAACCCTGTGGATCCTGCCAAGGGATTAAACAATTTTCTCTGGGAGTAGTCAATCTCATGACCTCTGAATTTGTAAGGGGAAGGAAGAGGTCAGGAAATCTGAGGTACAGGTAACAACTTAATGTATTGCTCAGACATTTTTGGTCATTAAATGACATGAACTCAACCCTCTACCTTACTTCTCCCAAAGGGAGACCTATGATAAAACCATATCAAATACCAGAAGAATTTTTATGGATGTTAGCTCTTGGAGTCTTACCTGTAAAACAGGAACATTGTCACTGGTAGTACTGGGTTATTGCTATATGTGACAACATGAATCAATTGTGGGAGTTGCTCTTGAAATTAATATACAAGTGAAAGATAAATTAATATATCACCAGTTTCCATTGGTCTTTAAAATCAATTCCTTTGCTTTTCTTTGAGCCTCTCTGCATCACAGGTCCATGTCCCTGGCCCTGCTCTGTAACAAAGAGGAACCAAATTGCTGTGCCAGAGGCACATTTGCCTATGCTACTGTGCCTCAGATAGATGACAGTTGTCCACACTCTGAGCCATAGGACTACAACTTCTATGTTTCATCAGTACGTTTCTACCAAAAAAGGAAGGAAAATGAACCATAATTGGAATCTACTTCTTGTGCTTAGTGGTTTCATCACCCCATAACAAGTAAGCAAAACAAGATTGTTCTCTCACTAGCATAGTTATTGTACAGTGGAAACAAGGAAGAGTAGGAAATGACAAGGTTAAAATGTTTTGATACCAAGCCACGTTTATCTAAATAGTTTTCCTTCCCCAAATTCTTCTCACTCTTCACTTTTGCTTTCTACTAATGGCGCTCAGGTTTCCTGCATAGCATAGTCCCTAGAATCCAGAAAAGCATTCAAACTTCTTCTCCCTCCACTTCTAAGGAGCAGCCCTGGCAAGGCATAAGCAAAGACAACTTTGGCTACAATTTCTAAGTCTCCAGGACAGGAATACTAACCTTTATTCAAGACCTGCGTACAGCAGAATGAATTTAAAATACTTGTACTCTAAATATGAAAATCAAACAGCTAGTTATGGTGTCCTGTATTCTCTTTCAAAAGCCCTCATTTCATGCCATTACTAAAACTGTAAATAGAATCAAGGATTGAAGAGCCACATGTTTCAAAGGAAAAGAGCCCATTTCAAATCCACAACTCAGCCCATTACAACGAACATCACTCACTGTATTGGTTAAAATGTCATTAAAATTGTGCCTTCATTCTCATTCCAGAAAGAAGCAGAAGAAAAATTTCATAATTTTCTTCCTCGACTTTTCACCGTTTTAAAGCCTCTCTGACTAATACAAGCAAAATAAAATAAAAAATACATGTAGTTAGGTAGTCAACATGTCAGACCATTTCATACGTATCATCGCCTTTAATTTTTCTCCCAAATTTTCTGGGTGACTTTAGATCACCTTCATATTCTGATGCTTAGAGTAATTAAACACATTTATGCAAAATCATAATCTAGTAAATAGAAATGCCAAGCTTCCATATCTGCTATGTCTGACTCCAAAAAGAAGATTCTTAATTATTGATAAATTATGTAATATGACTGGCAAACTGTGTAATATGGTTGGAAGCTGAAAACAGGTAAATAGGTAGACTAGATAACTGACCCATGAGTGAGTCACAAGGTTAAAATATAGAGCTATAGTGGTGATTAGTATATCTTCTTTCCCTTTTGCAACTCACCATCTACTAGAGCAGAAATTCAAGAGCCAAAGAAAAGTAAAATAATATAGCAAATAATGATTTCTGACTGCTCCATATAAGAAGACATGAGAGATGGGATTATATTTTAAGGATATAAGTATAAGTGACAATAGTAATGTCTGTTTTAGATACAAATTACATGTCATGTTAACAAAGTGGAAAACATACATAAAACAGATGAGTAAAGTAATCTTTTAAAAGAAGACTGTAAGAAAAGAGAGTTCAGGCCTGACATTGTGACACACATCTTTAATCCAAGCACGCAGGATCCAGAGGCAGGTGGATTTCTGTGAGTTCAAGGACAGCCTGGTCTACAAAGTGAGTTCTAGGACAGCCAAGGCTATTTAAACAACAACAACAACGAAACAAACAAACAAAAGAAAACAAGGAGAGGTGCCATTCAATGTGTATAAAGGTAAGTTTGACAACCTTCCTCAAGACCCAGCAATACCACTTTTGGGTATATATCCAAAGGATGCTCAATCGTACCACAAGGACATGTGCTTAACTATGTTCCTAGCAGCATTGTTTGCCATACCCAGAACCTGAAAACAACCTAAATGCCTCTCGACTGAAGAATGGATAAACAGTGGAGTATTACACAGCAGAAAAAAAATGACATTTTAAAATTTGCAGGCAAATGAATGGTTCTAGAAAACATCATATTAAGTGAGGTAACCCAGACTCAGAAAGAGAAATATCATATGTACCCAGTCATAAGTGGATTTTAGACATAAAGCACAGAAAACAAGTCTACAATTCACAAACCCAGAGAATTTAGACAATAATGAGGACCCTAAGAGAGACATACATAGATCTAATCTACATGGGAAGTAGAAAAGACAAGATCTCCTGAGTAAATTGGCAGCATGGGGACCATGGGAGAGGGTTGAAGGGGAGGGGAGAGGAAGCAAGGGGAGCAGAGAAAAATGTAGAGCTCAATAAAAATCAATAAAAAAGGTAAGTTTGAAAGCTGTGCTATGCAAATTCTATCTAGGGTTACTACAGCACTGCACATTTCAGTTTTGTTATAAGGAGAAGTATTGTATTTTTATTAGAAAGTTAAAAAATACACATTTTTATCCACACCAAAATTTAAACTATACTGGTTGTTTAAAGCATCCAACCAAATGTGTATTCAAAAGAAGGTTCAAACAATCACCATTTTGTTAAGTAGATATGAACTTAATAAATAATCTTTAAATTACTAAGAGAAAATAGGGGAGAAAAATAATGAAGAGGATTTTAGAATCTGGATTTTTATGGACTACACTTTGATTAAAGGTTAGAGAAATGGCAGGTTTCAGCAGACAAATTTCTCCTTTCCCTAATCCCTTATCCCATCTCCTCTACTCGGTTCTCAAAATGTTTTCGATAGCAATTCTCCCACTGATTCTATCTTAGTGTGAATTAAGGGCATGCTGTAGTTTTGACTCACGGACTAAATTTTGGGAGATGAAAATAAAAATTCTGACTGCAGTTCCTTCTTCCAGATTGAAACTCCAGGAGGTACATGCATGCATGCTCATAGTAGCTTTGTTTATAAACACATAAATGCCAAGTATCGACTGCCAGGAGAAAAGGGAGATGAAATTATGGCATATAAATTCAGTAAAATACAAACCAGTGACGACAAGGTCTGACTGAAACCTCATAGGTAAATCTTCCACACTAAGATTTCAAACACCTAGCTAATAACTTGGTGCATTTAAATTCTGTTGTGTAAATTAAAACAAAGAGCCCAACATAATAATATTGTTGAAGGATGTATGTGAAAACGTTATCAAAATTGAAGTGCATAATAGCTCCCAAATTTAGGACAATGTTGAGCTCTAATGTATTGTTGGCTTCAAGTAGACTCATGCAATCATAAAGAAATATCACACCATACCTAGCACATGTCAGGTACCATTCTAGGCTTTGGAGGGTAGCGCAACAAGCTAAAGCAGACTAAAGTTTCAAGCCCTCACAGACCTTTAATTCTAGTAGTCTCAGTGGAAAGGTATTAATAATATTGTTAGTTCTTTAATTCGAGCCCGTTAGCACTCATTCGCTCATTGCTATGCATTTGTTCTTTCCTCTGATTGTAATAATAAATAATTAAATAAGAACTTGAAACCTTTTAATATCTTCCAAGTAGCACTCTATCACAAGCACAAAGGTTTGCTTTGAGAACAAGTGCATCATGTTTCTCCCCAACTGCCCTGGTTTACATGCTTACTTAAGCTGCACTCCTAATTGAATAGAAGTGTATTGTCAGAAACTGTCAGCCTGAAAATGCCAGGTCAACCTTGAGGGAAGTTGGACACAGGGGCACTTAGGACTTAGATGTTTCGCTCCCGCTGCCTCTCTCCTCTTTCCTCCTCCCCATTCTTGCCCCCAAATAGGATTTTGAGATGCTTTGAGAATTGGACTCATTTGAGCAAGCCCACCAATGACTGTGGACTCAAGGTGAAAGACAAAATTCTCATAGCTGTTTTCCTTCTTAGGTCCAGTAATGTTAGCACATTATGGCTTTGTGACCGGTCAGACCTGAGTTATACTCCATCCACCACCAAAGTTTGGACAAACATTGTTAAAAATCAGTTGACCATAAATGTAGAGATTTATTTTCAGATACTTATAGAGTTCTTATCTATGTGAACATCGCCCTTTTTTATTTTTTTTACCGTTTGGTTAATTGTTGCCAATACATAAATTTTAAAAATCAAATAATTTTAAGAGGCTAACATTCAGAGTAGAGAGAGGGGATAGGGGAGAGAGAAAGAGAGAGAGAGAGAGAGAGAGAGAGAGAGAGAGAGATCCAGAACCAACCACTTTTATCTCAATTTTCCCCACCTCATTTTCCTTAAATTATTTCATTTTAAACATTTTTTAAAGCTTTATAGTAGGGTTTCCAGTCAGGATTTGGATTTTCCTTATTTGTTATTTTGAAGACTGTTTTTTTTTTTTTCTGTTCTATGCTTCTTATATTTTATTAAGAACTTTATGGCCAGTTTTTCAACTTCTGATAAGAAGGCAGGTAGGATTTTAAAATTATAATTAACACACTATGCAAGTA